CACACCCGCGCCCCCACGTTCTGTTTGGGTGCTTAAATGCTAACTACTAAAACTGAGCGACTGCCCGCTGTTTCTTTTCAACTACAGCACCCCCAAATACCTTTACCTTTGATCTCAGAACGGAGGCTGTCCTCGAGGAATACAAGTCAGGGTCGTTGAAGACAATCTAGGGCATGGAAGATAAGGGATGAAAATAAAATCTGTCATCAATGTGAAATGCGCATGCTTGTGTTCTTCTCTAATAATGTCATCGTTTATTTTTACATCATTTTTGCCTTTTTCCATCTCACTTGTATCCCCGTGGGCTCCTCGTCACCCAGTGCCCTGTGTGCCATCACCACAGTCCCGTGCACTCCCCCTGCCCCCAGTTTTGATCCCATCCCCATCCCGCCCCCCTAAAATGTCTCTGGTGTATACTTGTTCACTATTAGTACTTTCTTGCCTGGTCCACTGTACTCCCATGAGGGAAACCATCAGTATTTTTCCTTTTCTTTCTGGCTTATTTCACTTAAGTCATGCTTGGGCTCTTAGACTGGAATAGCTTTAAAAACATTATATATTTTTTAATTCTTTCCCTGAACATGAGTTCTTCCTTTTCTGGAAGTCTTCAAAAGCCACTGCGTTTAGATTCTTTGCAATTTTTGCCCCATTACAGGGTGGTATTATGTATGAATTTTTGCATGAATGATTGTGTCCTTAGATACTTCTTAAGGGGTAGCAAGGAGTTAACTTGCAGCACTGTGAAGCTGTTGCAGCCACTGCAGCCTGAGTTCCATCCCTAGCCAGGGAGTGACCCCCCCCCAGGGAGCAGCAGACCTCTCTAGTCTCCCCCTTGCTCCCCTCAGCACTGGATCTGAGTGAATCCACCTGTTCTGCTCCCCACTCTGGAGAATCCACTGCCTGCTCCCCACCTCCGGCCTACACCCTAGATTTCCTCAGTGAATAACCATTTTCTTAAGGCTCCCCACGTGCACTCAGCTCACTCTGTCAGCCTCTGAAGCTGCCCCTCCCTCCTGGTTCCCAGTCTTCACCACAGTGTGGTTCTGAAAGCGGGTGTGGCTCTGCCTTGAGAATCAGGATAGCCCCAAGGGCTGCTTCTCTCTAGGTGCCCGGCCCCCACCCAGAGAGTAGAAGCAGCCCTTGGGGCTGTTGTGCTTCTCAAGGCGGTCTTCCAGAAGTGGCCGTGGTGGCCGCCCAGCACTGTGGGTCAGCACGGACCTCACACGGCCCCCGGGCGCTCATCACCCGGGGAGGCGGTGCGGGAGCGTCCAGTGGCCTTCGCGGCGCTCTGCGCCCTGTTGGGCAAGCCCGCAGTTGGCAGGGTGGGGCGGCCGGCGCGCGGCCCCTCTCCTTGGGCCCTCCCTGGCGTCGCCTCGAGGTCCTGCCTCTCCGGCCCTCGCCTCTCTTCAACGCGGCCCCCAGGGCCCCAGCCCAGCCCAGGGGCGGCCAGGCTGCCCACACCTCGCTCCAGGTGTGCCCCGCCGACCCGCACCCCCGAGCGCCGGCTGCACGGAGGCCGCAGGTGGCGTCCGAGGCCGCCGCCCACCCTCCGAGCACGGGGCACCCGTCTGTTCCCCTCCGGGCCGGGCTCCTGCTCCTCCCGGCAGCCCTTCCGCGCCTGCCCAGGTGCGCCCGCTGCGGGTCACCGCGGGACCGGCGCTCCGCCTGGGACGGCCAGGGAGGGCCCGGACCTCCAGGCCTCCTACACAGCGCCCGCCCGGACACTGGATCCTGCCTGGCGGCGACGGAACCCCGCTGCTCTCTCCCCACTGCTGCAGCCCCCCCCCCTGGCCTGCTGGCCCTGCTCCCTGGGGGGGCGGGGGCGGAGGGGGGGTCTCGCCGGGACAGGGGTCAGCCCAAGGGAGCCTGGGGCCACGTGAGGCGCTCCCGGCGCACCTCTCCTGCCCCACGCCGCCTCCCGTCCACGCCTGCTGCTCACTCCCCGCCAGCCGGGACTGGGCGGCCCCCTAGACCACGAGCTGGGTGCTCAGAGGTCACGGTCCTTCACTGCCTGGCTATGCTGTCTTGTTTTGGGGGTGCTCCCAGGGGCAGGTGAGCCCACGCCGTCTCTGCAGACGTGTGACTCCACTTAGGCGTAAACTCTGGGAGTTACGTACTGCCACGTAACCCCCCTCCACAACTGTGACACCATGGCGACTGCTGAAGCTGTGGGTGACTTTACCCCTAGGTCACCAAACACCTGTTCCAAGCCTGCCCAGGGCTCCCCTGCGAACAGGCCCACTCCTGCCAGCCCTTTTGCATGGCTCTGGAACTCCTCTCAGGGCTCCCGCAGGCTCACTGAAATAGGACCCCCCCTCTGGCCGCCCACCCCAGCAAGGTGTTCCAGTGCCCTACCAGTAGCTCTTTATTCCAGCTGCATATCCGCAGGTGTGGAGGGGTGGGGTTGGGCGTGCACCATGACTGGACTGGGGCAGGAAGGCGGCAGGTGGAAGAGAACCCGTAGACTTCTGAATAAAGTGGGACAAAACCCACCTTGATCTTACCTGGATCCCAGTGGCTCCCATCTAGAAAACGCTGGGGGCAGGGAGGGCGGAAGCCAACTGACATTTGGCAGGAGAAAAGGGTGCTGTGGACCAGCGGGGCCAGGCAGGTGGGCAGAGGCCAGAGGGACCTGGAAGACAGCCACTGGGTTTGCTGGCGCCTGGACCTCCTCAAAGCCCCAGCACCAGGCTGTGAACTGTTAGCTTCTCCCCAGCCAGGTCGGCCAGCTCTACGTCCTGTCCCCAGCCCAAGGACAAAGCCACACACCGGCTCCATTTTCCCAACAGTTATTTATTAGGAAAAAAGTTCACATGAAGAAAGAAAAACTCATGCAACCAAAGAGGAGAGAAGGGGGCTTCCGGGGCCAGGAGCCAGAGCCGGACTCATCCGAGGAGACAGACGAAGGGAGGAGTAAGGCACTGCCGCCTCGGCCCTGGCGTCGGCGCGGGAGGGCGGCTGAGCGCGGGGTCCCGGCTCTGGCGAGCACAGACAACACTGAGGACGCCTGGCAGTGGGGCTGTGCGAAAGAGCATTCTGGAGCCCCCAGGCGCAGGACAGGGCCGATACAGGCCTGGCCACAGCTCTCCAGGTGCCCAGAGAGTGCACAGTCCTTGAGCAGAGCCCAACTCTGGAGGCGCTGGGAGTGCTGCGGGCCAGGTCCGCGGGGACCCCGTCACAGCCATATCTGCTGGGCTGCAGGGGCCTCAGCCACTCCAAGTGCAGCTAACATCGAGGCCCTCTCAGGGCCAGCTGCAGCCGGCCATGACGCGAGGAGGTGTGTGGCCAGGCTGGAGTGACACTGTCCAGAAGAGGAGAGTGAGGGGTGGGCAGCCCCTGGGGGGTGGGCACTGAGGGAGGGGCACAGTTCAATAAATAGGTGGCCAGGACGCGTTGGCAGGGGCAGGCCACGCACGTCACCTGGGCAGCAGGACAGGAGGCTGGGGGTATTGCTGCTGTGGGGCCAGGGGGCTTGGTCCTGTCACCCCTCCCCAGCAGGGCCCAAAGCAAGGCACTCACGAAGGGGCCCCGTGCCACCCGATCCGGGGACCACCCCCGAGCTCCAGCATGCGCACACGGCTCAGGCCTGAGAAGCCCCCTCCTCGCCCACTGCACCCCCCTTAGCTGTTGCTGGACACGAGGCCAATGATCTGTTCCAGCTTCTGGCGCAACTTATGCTTCCGGCAAGAGGCGTCTAGGTCCAGAGCACTGAGAACCTGGGGGAAGGGACCCCTGGAGCTGGGCTCTCCTCCTGGGCCAAGCCACCACTCCCCAGGGGACCCTCCCTCATGCTGTCCAGGGCCCTACCGCACGGACGCCTTGGGCAACGCGGGGCAGGGCGTCGGTGGGCCCTGCAGCTCACGGGGCGCTGTCCCTGCCTGCTCTTGTGTGAGGTCACGAGCCCCACCAGCACTCTCCATGGCTGCACGTGCCCGCCTTCCGGTTCCACCCCTCAGCTCATCTCCCCCACAGCACGCCAGGACAGAACCAGCTCCAGCCACGAGCTCCTCCCCCGAGGCCGCAGGTCCCAGCATCTGTGCTGGCCTGGAAGCCTGACTGGGGAGGGACTGTGACAATCCAGGAGATGGCTGCCATGCCCTCTGCCTCCGGTGGCACTACCTCCTGACCACGTGCCCCGCCCATCTCAACCACCCACCACGCCCTCAGGGCTGCGCTGCCTGCCCAGGGGCCTGTGGGTAGCACGCACCTCCTGGCGGTACTTCGTGACATAGAAGTAGAGCTCACTGAGTGCACTCAGGACGTTGAAGTCATTGGCGTGGAGGCGGGACTGCTCCACCAGGTAGGCATCCATGTCCTGGTCGCTGATGGACGCCATCTTGGCGATGTCTCGGTAGTACCTGTGTGGGCCCTGAGTAAGTCACAGCAGCAGGTGTCGCAAAAGCCCAAGACCCTTCTCTGGCTGCCATGGCTGCCCGAAGCCCCCCTTCCGGCAGCCAGCCCCCCAGCCCGCCGCTGCACAGGCGACAGGGCAGAGCCCACCTCTCCACCCAGCTCTTGTAGCTGGGGATGTCCTTGGCGTAGAGCAGCTTGTTGGAGGGCGAGTCCTTGCCCAGCCGGTGCTCGGACGTGGAGCAGGAGTCCATGAAGGTCTGGGCCACCACCGACAGGCAGGCGTCCGTGATGCTGCTCTTGTGGATGTCGAACACGAACTGCGGGTTCTTGATCACGTTCACCCAGAAGCGCAGGGGCAGGCTGGCGAGAAAGGGTTGGCAGCTCCGCACTCAGCCAGTCGGTGAGCCCCTCCTGTCACCCTTCTCGTCCCAGCTCCTGGCCTGGCAGCTGTCATGCCCAGAGGTCACATGTGTGACAGGGTCAGGGCCACGGGCTGCCTTCACCAAACCACGCCCATTAGACCTGAGCAGCCAGGTTCGAGTCGACGCCCCGTGCTCAGGGCCTTCCAACCCCCACCCCTGCTCTGCTCCTACCCGGGCCAGGCCGCCAGCACCCTGCCCTGCGTATGCCCTTCCTCGGCCATGCTCGCTCCTGCCTCGGCCAATCACTGCAGCCCTGCCTGCCACCCTGAGCCCAGGCGGAGCCACAGGCCTCTTCCGCCGCCCGCCCGCCCGCCCGCCCGCCCGCCCGCTGGGGCCCAGGCAGCACCAGTTGCTCTTCCAGGTGTGGCGCACATCGGGGTCGCTGATCTGGCGCCGGTCGGCCTGCTCATCCAGGAAGTCGAACATGTACTTGATGGCCAGCGGCAGGGCGCTGCCGCGGTGCGCTGTGCTGAACACGGTTTCAAACAGGTCGTCCACGAACTTCTGCAGCGTGCCCTGGGGGCGCAGCGAGAGCGCGGTGTGACTGCGAGGGTGTCCGCACGGCACAGCAGACTGGACAGAGCAGCTGGCGAGCCGGGCACCCCAACAGTCCGGCACCCGGAAGACAGGCCCAGGAGGGCAAGAGCGAACACCTTGAGCAAGGCCCTCGGGACGCACACGGCCCAGCGCCCCTGCCCAGAAGAGGCTACACGGCATCTGAGTGCTTCCCCTGTTGCCTGTACTCATGCAGAGGGGCAGGCTTAGGGCATTCGAGACAGGCTCTCCCAACCCACTCTGGCGGGTTAGGCACTGCAGCTGGGGGCATCACAGACGTAACGCTGCTTGGCAGGAGGTGGCAAACCCACCCCCACCCGCAGTGGCCTAGCCCATGGACCCCGCGGAGCTGCCCGAGCCCTGCCCACGCGCTGAGCGCGTCTGTGCCGCGTCCCGCTGAGCGAGCCCGTGGGTGCCATGTTGGGGGGGGCCTGTGCACCAAGCACCCTAAGCGACCTCACTGCGGTCACTACCGAGAAAAAAACAGCCCCTGGGCTCTGTAAGCTGGACAGACGGAGCCCATCAAGTCGTGGGAAGGACAATGGCAGAATCTCAGGCTGAGGATGTCATCGAGGAATACTTCAATGCAAGAACTGACCAAAGAGGGCCGCCTCAGTGGCGCAGGGGTGAAAGCCTGGCACTATGAAGCTGCGGTAGCCCCTGCAGCACGAGGTCAATCCCCGGCCAGGCAGGAACCCCAGGGCATGGCAGAAGCCGCCTGTCCCCTGCTGCTCCCCTCAGCAGTGGGTGTTAGTGGGCCCACCTGTTCCTCTCCCCACTCTGTCTCTCGCACCTCTGGCCTGTTCCCTGGTTCTTGTACGCATAAATAAATAAGTCTTAAAGAAAACTCTGGCTAGCCAAAATAAATAAATAACGTGGCAGGCATCTGAACTAAGGCCAAGAGGGCAGGGCCACGCCACACCTTGGTGGCCAGCAAGCGCGTCAGGTAGATTTCGGACACCATCTTGCTGCCGCGGTCCCCTTCGCGGTGGTCAGCGTGGTCGTGGTTCTTCACCAGATGCCACACCTTGGTGCCTGTCTCCTGGTCGGGCGTGATCATCGGGGCTCGAGAGCGGAGGCTGTCAGGGCTGCTGGCCGTGCGCAGCAAGCTCTCTGGGTGGCAGGCAGACGTGACCGTTAGGTCCAAAAGCCACATCGGGCATTGCCAGGGCTCCTGTCCCAGGAGCCCACGGCCGAGGAGCCCATCGGCTCTCGCTCGGCCCGGCCCAGCCCAGTGTCTGTGGGTCTGCAGCCCTGCCAAGCCGGCTGCCCAGCCAGAGGCTCCATGGCAGCGGACGCGCTCGAAGGGCCAACGGCAGACACCTACCGTAGCGGCTGAGGGAGCGGGTGAAGGTGAAAGAGTTGGCCATGTTGTAGGCAGACACCTGCTTGGGCACCAGTGCCACCAAGGAGCCATCTGTCACCTAGAGACCCAGACACAGAGGAAGCAGCGCAGGAGGCTGGGGCGAGGGCACACGGCGCGCTGCGAGGGGCGGGGCCCCGCGCTCCCAGGCAGCCCGGGACAGGCCCCAGCCCCTCACCTGGTAGTGAGCCAGCGAGTTGACCCTCTTCCAGTCGCACTCGATCTTGGTGGTGACGTCCTCGTCCTGCAGGACGATGCGGGCCGTGCGGCCCTGGCGCCACTCTGCAGGCCAGAGAGGGCCGGAGGTGCTGTTCAGGGAAGCTCCAGTCCCCGAGTCCACTCCCTGGGAGCACACAGCCCAGGGGAGGAGGACAAGTGCCAGCCCAGCAGGCGGGGCAGGGGCTCACCCAAGTCCATGTCCTCAGCTTTGGGGCGCTGAGAGTACGGGACACCCTTGTATACAGCATCGAGCAGCTTGTCTTTGGCCTGGGTGATGCTGTCGCAGTTGAGAACCTTCACCGGGACCTGAGCGCTGCCCTCGCTCTCCGGGCACACACAGTGCAGGGTCTGAGGGTGAGGAGACCCCAGGGTGGGTCCTGGGCCGCATGTCCCTGTGCCCAAAGCCTTGCCCACAGAAGCACCGCTCACCAGCGTCTTGTAGTCGATCTGCTGGCGGATGAGCTTGTCCTCGCTCAGCGAGTAGCGCGCCTCGCCAGTGATGGCGTCGATGGGGCCCTTCTCCATCTGCTGCTTGATGGCGCAGTAGAGCAGGAAGAGCGGCTCCCCGGCGCACTCCTGCAGGCAGGGGGCAGGCGCACAGCTCGCGCCCGCCCCGCGGCGCCCCTCCCACGCCGCCCCCCCCCCACGCACCTTCAGGAACTTATGAAGCAGGAACGTGAACCAGTTGGTGAGCATCTTCTCAGCCACCGACTCGGTCCTAGGCCCAGAGGCAGGCGGCCAGGTCAGGGTGGGGAGGGGCCGGCGGCCTCCGGGCGGGGCGGGGCCCGGGCGGGCCAGGGGCAGCGGGCAGAAGACCAGAAGACGCTACCTGCGGAGCAGCAGCTTCGGGTGGTTTTTGCTCTCCAGGTTCTTCTCGATGAGGTCGGCCAGCAGCTGCTTGAGCAGCCCCGTGGCGTAGTCGAGGCGACTCTGCAGGGCCACCATGGTGAGCGAGGCCACGGTGCCGCGGTCGCGCATGGAGAAGCTGCTCTGGGCCTCCAGCGTGTGGATGAAGGTGAGGACGAAGGCTCGGCTGTGCAGCAGCTGCCCGAAGAGGCGCAGGGCCTTCTCGACGTTGGGGGGTGTCTGTGGGGACAGCGAGCCTCAGCGGGTAGGGCTGTGGCCTCGGGGGTGATGGGGCGCAGGCAGGCAGGCAGGCAGGCAGGTAGGCAGGCCGGCAGGCCGGCAGGCCGGCAGGCCGTGGCTCACGTCCAGCTCCTTGAGCACCGGATGGGCCTCGATGCCTGGGAAGAGCACGCGCACGGCGTAGGTCCGGTAGTCCAGGAAGGGGGTCTGCACCCCGGCCATGTGGTTGGTTAACTCGTTGATGTCCGTCTGCAGCTCAGCAAAGGCTGGGGAGGGCCGGGGATGGACCGTGAGCCGGGCAGGAGGCGTGCGGCCCCCAGCGCCACCCCCCCCAGCTTCACACCACACCCCCGCCCCGGGCACCTTCCTTGCACTCCAGAGCCACCCGGGACTCCAGGTTGTCCATCTGCAGCTGGAGCCGCCTGAGCGTGCGGTCCGCGTCCTGCGTCTTCCGCTTGTACGCCACCAGCACGGCGGTGATGGCCAGCAGCAGGAGCCCGCCCCCCGCCGCCAGCCCCGCCAGGGCCGGCAGCGTCAGGGCCCGCTCCGCCGTGATGTGCAGGGTGCCCAGCCAGAACTCCAGGCCGCCCACCAGCACCTGCGGGGACAGGTGCGTGCGTGACCCCCACACCCGCCCCAAGCACCCTGGTGGCCTCCCCAAGCCTCACGCACCGTGACAGGTTGCCGGCCCGTCTGGCTGGGCGAGTTGCACAGGAGCTGTGTGTCAGAGACGGTGAGCGCACACGGCTGGCCCCCGATCAACACCGTGTAGTTGAGGCGGGAGCTGCCGGGGGCGGCGGGGATCAGGTTCTTGCCCTGGCAGTGGGGGGCACAGTCAGCGTGGGCACCCCTGCCCCGCCCACCCCCGCACCTCCCTGCACCACACCTTCAGCACCACGTGAGAGCCAGGCTTGACATCCAGGACGCCTGCAGGCCCGAGCGGCTCAAAGCTGGGGTCGGGGTAGTAGGTGAAGGAGGAGCGGTTCAGGGAACGTGCCGTCTGGACGTGGTCAAGCAGGAAGCCAAACTCGTCGGGGTGCTCGCCCTGGGCCCGTGGCTGGGGCCGCCCCGGGAAGATGCCAGGAGCCTTGCACAGCATGGCGGTGTCATTGATCACCTGGCACGTCTGCGGGCACAAGGAGGGCAGCTGCCGTAGGCCACAGGGGCGGGAGGGCAGCGGGGCGAGGGCAGCTGGCACTCACGTTGGTGGTCTCGATGCCTCGGTACTTGGCCCGGACCCGGGGCTCCTGAACCGTCAGCAGGTGCGTCCCGCTCACGGTGATGGCGGTGCTCCCACTGGGGGCGGGGCAAGGCTCAGGTTCCCGGCCCGGCTGCCCCGACCCAGCCCTGAGAGCTATGGAGCCCCCAGCTGGGTCCCCCAGGGAGGCTTGGATGGCAAAGGCATGTCATTTGATGCCCAAGAACCCAGGACATAAGCTCAGGGACCCTCAGTGCTGGCCGGGATCCCTCATTCTCCTGGGGGGGGTCTCACTTGATGATGCTCCAGGCAGGCTCCAGGCGGGTGACGGTGGGGTCCTGGGTGTAGGTGTAGAGCACCCCAGGACTCGAAATGTTGGCCCGGTCAATGGCCAGGGTGATGGGGGCCTGGCTGGGGCCCAGGGTGGAGACGGGCGAGATGCACACGATCGCCTGGGCGTCCCTCCTGTCGACAAGCAGGGATCTTGGGGCGCAGCTCAGGCCAGCCCCTTGCCCGTGACACCGCATCCCCCAGCCCACACCAAGACTGGCCATGCTTTCGCCCACCTCACAAACTGGCACTCGCCATCCCTCACGGTCACAGTGACCCTGCTGCCCGCGTCCAGAGCACTGCCCGAGATGGTGAGCCGCGTGCCGCCTGCAGCTGGGCCCCGACTGGGACTCACGTGGTCGAAGGTTGGGGTCTGCGGGACAAGCAAACTTAAGGGGAGAGGCGGCAGCCCCGGGCTGGGGCTGACCATGGCCCGCTTGGAGGGAGCAGGGCGGGGGTGACCCACGCACCACAAAGCTGAACAGCTGCTCTGACTGAGTGCGGAAGTCAGCAGAACAGTCCCCCACGCACAGCTCCACGGGCCCGGGGGGCGGGCTGGGCACGAGTGACCCCTCCATCTCACACACAACCCTAGGAACAGACACTGTCAGGGCCGGAGCGCGGGCTGCCCGGCCCCACATGGCCACACTTACCTCTCAGCGCTCACGTACTCAGCGGGAACGGGGTTGCAGCGCACGCCAGCCACCCGCAGCCCCACCTCTCGCGAAGACAGGCCCAGGTTCTCGCCCATGATGGTGACCCGGGTGCCTCCTTCCTTGGGCCCCACGAGTGGGTGTATCTGCAGAGCAGGAAGGGGGGCCAGAGGCTGAGCCTGGGCTCTCGGGGCCAGGGCGGGGAGGGGTGTGGGGGCAGCTGACCTGGGCGATGCGGGGGTGGCTGCAGCGCGCGCCCTTCTGGCTCGGGTGCATCCAGTTGGTTTTGGGAACTGGGCAGTGGGCCCGTAGTTGGCACTTGTGCTCCGAGATGCACCAGCCGCAGTTGAAGCGGGGGTCAGCTTTAAGGCAGAGGCCACAGCTGGGCCGCTGTGCCCAGCACTTGTACAAGAGGGCTGTGGGCACAGAGGGTACGGCTGGGGCAGCCGCCAGCAGCTGGCACCAGGCTCCCCCGGCCACACCGGCCTCAGCTGGTGCGGGCTCCGCCTGGAGGCCCACTCCTCGCCTCACCTCGGAAGGTGGGAGGCTTGTCGATGGCGAAGTGTCCATCCCAGACCACAGAGAAGTCCAGTTCGGCGTCCCCGTGCTCGTCGCCATCGTAGGAGTACTAGGGGCAGGGAGCTGCGTGACCTTAGAGCTGGGTGGGCCCCGTCCCCGCCACCCCCACGCAGGAGCCTGGGAAGGAAAGCGGGTTCCTGCGCAGGCGGGGCCTCACCGAGGCGTTCTGACACTGCACGCTGCTGCTGTTGAAGCGCACGGCGGGCACGCGCTGCTGCCGGCCCTGCACGCGGACCACGCACTCGTAGTTCTTCTGGCCTGACTGCGGCTGCGGCAAATTCTTGGCCCGCAGGGTGACCGGCTGCATGACCCCGACAGGGATGAGGAGGTCCCCGCTGGGCAGGATCTCAGGGCAGCCCTGGAAGAGGGTGCTCGTCAGCCCCCAACCGAGGCGGCCCAGCTGGGCCAGGCCTGCCCTGTCTCTGGGAAGTTCACACACGCCCCAGCCTCACCTCGGGGCTGCGGACCCTGCCCTCCTGGAAGGAGCACTCGTGGGGGTGACTGGTGCACACGTGGCGGTACTTACACCAGTGGCAGGGGTATGGGCTGCCAACGCAGGACACGCACCTGCAGGGAGAGGCTTCGGGACTAACGCAGAAGGCCAGGCCGCATGCACCAACCCCCACTGGACACAGTTCAAGCCAGGAGTGGCAGCAGCGGCTGGTCCGCCCACGCCGGCGAGAGCACACGCAGGGAGACCGGCACTCACGACTGCCAGACGCTGCAGTTGTAGAGGACAAAGTCGGCCTCGGCAAAGCTGACGCCCGACTCCCTGGAGAACAGCTGGAGGCGCACGGTGCGCACGGCCCCTGCAGCGAGGCGGGCCAGTGAGCCAGCAGGCGCAGGCCGGCCCCCTCCCGGGCAGCCCCAGCCCACTGACCGTGCCCCCTGGTGAGAGCCCGGAGCTCCTGTGGAGAGGGCGAGAGGCAGCGCAGCTCCCCGGAGGGCAGCAGGACGGCCTGGCTCTCCGTCGCCTCCTCAAAGGCACAGCTGACACCCGCGCCGAGGTCGGGCACGTTGCGCATGGCTACGGTCAGCTGGGGGAGGCGGGGACTCAGTGCACGGGCTCCCGCCGCACGCGCCCCCTGACCAGCGCGCCACTCACCTGCACCCCAGGCGACGTCACGGACACGTTGTTGGGCCGCACTCGCACCTGGACACACTTGCCCAGCTCCTCGGCAAAGGCGCGCGGAGCAGAGGCGCCAGGACAGGCCCCCTCCCGGCAGCACCTGCGGGGGGGAGGGGCGCAGTCCGTGGCACTGTCCTGGGAGCTGCCCAGGGGTGCGCAGCGGGGGCCCGGGTGGGGGAGGGAACAGTGGGCTGCAGGGGGTGGCACACGGAGTGCAGGCTCCACGCATCAGCTGGGGAAAGTGCAAGGGCACGAGAGGGGCTGCGGCGGCCGGCCCAGCCGCTCCCCCAGTCAGGGCCCCCAGCCCAGCGCTCCCCCAAGAGGCATCCTCACCTGTGCTGCAGCACGCACCAGCCACAGTGCGGGTCCCCAGAGCCCAAGCATGCTTCACAGCTCAGGTACTGCTCACAGGTCTCCACCGGGAGCTGGCTCACCTGGGGACAGCCACGTCAGCACCCGGCCTACTCACACCCCGCCGCCTGCCGCGCCCGCCACGGGCCCACCTGTTTCTCACTCAGGAGGTAGATGTGCTGGTGGTCAGGGCTGAAGAGCAAGTCTCGGAGCACAGGGCCATCCACCACCGGCACCGTCTCATACAGACGGGCCTCCTGGGAGTCGTCCACCCGCACCTAGACGAGACCAGAGTGCACGGATGGCAAGCCAGCCTGGCACTGCAGCACCCCCACGCTCACGGCACCCACTTTTTCAGCTGGGGACCCACCAGGCGGGGGCTGAGCGAAGCCAGGGATTGGGGGCTCAGCCCCCCCCTCCCCCGCCGCCGTCAACCCCAGCCAGCCACCTAGAGGTGCCACAGCCAGCCAGGAAAAGCTCCCAGGAGACCTGATCGAGATTCGTGTCGCCGAGGGTGGGGAACAGGGTGCGTGGGGTGGACAGGGAAAGATGAGGGTGGCGAAGGCATCGTGGGGTGAACCAGGTTCTAAAAGGCATGAAAATATCAGCTCTGGGCCCTCCCTGGTGGCGCAGCGGGTTACAGCACAGCACTGAGAAGCTAAAGCCACTTCCGCATGACTTCGATCCCCGCCTGCCCCTGAGGAGATCCACATGGCCCGGCAGACCTCTCCTGACCCGCCCGCTGCTCCCCTCAGCAGTGGACTTCCTCGATCTGCCTGTTCTGCTCCCCACTGTGTCTCTGGAGAAGCCTCTCACCCTCCGCATCTCTGGCCTGTACCCCAGTTCTGTATTAATAAATAAGTCTTTAAAAAAAAAAAAGAAAATATCAGCTCTGATATCTGGTATCTCCTCCACAAAGCTGTCACCCTGCCTCAGAGGCCTGGCAGGGCAGAGCCCCAGCTCAGCGGCTCCCGCACAAACTCCCCCAGCTCCCCTGCGCCTTCAGGGAGGGTTCCCCAGTAAGGGGGAGTCGGAGCTGGAGTAGCCACAGCCGCGGACTCCCTTCCGCGGCTCAGGCTGGTTCCCTCGGGCACTCCACCAAGCCGGCCTTGGCATGGCCCTCGTTTGCGGCCGTCCCCAGGCCCAGTGCCAGCGGCACAGGCGAGGGGTAGCTGAGCGGGGCCCTTGCTCGCGGCTGTGCCCCGTGCAGCCGCCAGCCCTCTCCAGCGGCGCCCGGGGCCCACCTTCTTCAGACTGCCGCTGCGTGTGCCGACGAACACCACGGAGTGCTGCCGGTATGTGTAGGCGGCCACACTGGCCATGCCCTCGCCGCTGTCGGCCAGCAGGGGCAGCCCCTCGATCACGCGCAGGCCACCCAGAGGCTGGTTCAACAGTAGCCCGCAGAAGTTCCCGTTGATCTGCATGGGCTGTGGAGCGGGAACGCGTGGGGTCAGCGCAGGGCGGCAGGAGGGCAGAGGCTGCGAGACCCCCGTCCCGAGCGGGGCAGCCTGTGAGACCCGCCCCCACAGCCAAGACTGGGCGTTGGCCCCGGAACCCCGCAGAAACGAGGGCTGGGGAGGGCGCCGGAGGAGGGTGAGGGCGGGCGGCTCGGCCCACGCGCAGCCTGCGCACCGGTGGGCGGCCGTGAGGGCCACAGAGGCTGGCAGAGCGTGGGGGCGGGGGGCTCCCAAACGCCCCAAACCGTGGCCACCGCGGCGGCAGGGGCGGGGCTCACGGTGTTGATGCAGGGCAGCTCCTTGTTGAGCAGCCAGGGCAGGGCCAGGGTGCCCTCCCCGCGGTAGCACGACTGGATGCGCCGGCGGATGTGGGCGTTGATGTCTCTGAGCGTGAAGAGGCAGAGGATGGTCTGCCGAGGCGGGCTGGCGCGGTTCTTCTGGCCCTGAGAGAAGACGGTGAAGAGCACGTCCTCGTCGGCCGGCACGCCCAGGGCCTGGGCCAGCAGCAGGCCAGGCTTGGCCAGGTGGGCGCTCTGCACCAGGCGGTACTCCACGCCGCGCCAGGAGCAGCCGATGGGGAACTCCACGTACGAGTAGAACTCCGAGTCCCTGGCGCACATGCGCACGATCTTGGACGTGAAGAACTTCTCGCCCGCCGTGTCCAGCAGGGTCTGCTGCGTGTCCAGCTGCAGCGTCAGGAAGTAGACGAAGGAGGCGCTCACAAAGCTGTAGACATAGTAGATGTCGAAGGCGGGGTACAAGGACAGCGTGTCCGAGGGGATCTTGATCTGCGAGGAGACGAACTCATCCTGGTACACCTGGGGGCCGGTGGCAGAGCGCGGTTTGAGGCCCCAGGTCACCCCCACCCCTGCGACCGCACGGCGCACCCGGGGCTCCCCACAGCCCAGCGTGCATCCGGACGGCCTTGGGGTGCGCCAAGGGAGCCCCGGGAGCAGGCAGCCTCCTGGTACCCGGCGCCGACCTGTGCTCCCCAGCGGCCCCTCGGCCCCCCTCGGTGGCAGTGGCAGGAGGAGACGCGAGAGGCAGGAGAGGCCGCCGCAGCCGGCTACCCACCAGGCTGAACATGTCGGCGCCGTCCTCATCCCCGACGAGCTTGCGGGAGCTCAGGGTGGGGAAGTACTCGGACTTGCCGTCCACGGCAGTGCCCACAAACAGCTTGCTGGGCCCCTGGCCCTGCTCCACGATCACGCCGGCCATGGAGTCGGGCTCCTGGGCCCCCGACAGGTAGTGCTCCTTGCGGTGGTGGGGCTCGCCCAGCTTGAAGAGGTCGTCGAGGCGCAGGAACTGGCAGATGCCCTGCCAGATGCTGCCACAGGCCACCAGGCGGCGGGCCGCGTAGTCGATGAGCAGCAGCTTGTTCACGTTGTCCACGGGCGCCAGGTGGTGGGCGCACACGCGCATGCTGGGGGGTGGGTAGCACCGGGCGTTGTCCTGGACGGGCCCCGTGACGTGGGCCCGCAGCTCGGTCAGGTTGGGGGCCAGCTTGAAGATGCGGTTCACTGCACCCACAAACACCTCCCCGGTCACCCGGTGCACGGCCAGGTGGGTGAGTGTGGTGTCTGTTACCGAGAAGGTGGGGAAGGGCCTGCGGCTGCCCAGGGAGCCCCCCAGGGCGAGGAGGAGCAGTGGGAGGAGGCAGACAGTGCGCATGGCGGGCAGCTGTTCCCGGGGACCGGCCTGGGGGGGACAGCCAGGATGAGTCAGAGGTACTAGTCCAGGCTGCCCACCCTCCTCCAGCCCCCCAGGTGCAGGTCGACAGACATGCCACAGAGGGCAGGGGGCCGTTCCCCCCACACCCTGCCAGAGCCCCAAATGATGACCCAGGCTGCGGTGGGGGCTGCAGCAGGGCATGTGAGTGAGCACGAAGGCGGCAGGCTTGGGGGCCCAACCATCATCTCCCACCTGCACCCCCGAAGGAGCGGGGGCCTTGGCTGGGCCACACCCAAGGGGGCAGCGAGGCCAGATGCTGGGAATGGCAGGGCAGGAGGCCCTCCCAGAAAGAGGCCCTGAATGCCAGAGCTGAGAGCGGCCAGCCGCGCACAAGAGCAACCACAGGCGAGCCCCAAGCCACAGGGATGGCAACACCCCAGCTGGGGAAAGGAGAGAGGCAGGGAGAGAACAATCAGCGGGTGAAGGGGGCCGGGAACACCACCTCAGACAGTCATGGCCCCAGGAGCCCAGCTCAGGGGAATCAAGACCGGGCGCCACCACAGCCCCACTGCTGGTGTGGCTGACTCCTTGCCCCAAGGGCCGGCCGGCTGGCTGTCCAGGAGCCCCCAGACTGCCCACCGCAGCAACACAAAGCCAAGTCGCGCCTAGCCCGCGCCTCGCGCCACAGACATAAGTCAGCACAGCCAGACAGCGGCCTGTGTGTGCTCCCCCACCCAGAGGCTAGGGGGAAAGGAGGCGTGCCAGGGAGCCCACTCCGTCCACACCGCGAGCAGTCCCCGCAGCTCTAAGGAAGGGCAGAAACATCCCCGGCCAGGGCAAGGCCAGGGGGAGATGGGGCGGGGCCCTGGGGCCAGCTGGCTGGACCAGGGCTTCACCCCCAGGCCACACCCAGCTCTCCAGCCAGTCCCAGGGGAAAGGCAGCCGAAGGGGCCACCACAGCGTGCTCAAAGGGGGCAGGAAACTAAAACCCAGAAGGCGAAGAAAGGAAAACCACGTCTGCCAGAACAAGGAGTAGGCCCCGCTTGAAACAGCCGATTTCAGCACTGGCCGCTGGGCTCCCCAGGCTCTTTTGTCAGGTTCACATCCTGGACCCCGGAGGCAACAGCCAAAGAAAGGAAGGCCCAGGAGAGGGAGGCCGAGCCCCGCCCTCGCCTCCTCCACGCCCAGCACGGCTCCAACCCTAGACTGGGGACGGGGACCGGCCCGGGGACCGGGGACGCTCGGGGGGCGGCGAGGCGCACAGGCACAGCCAGCACCGGCCCAGCGGCGAGCGCCGAGGCGAGGCGGGCGCCCAGGCGGAGATGCGCCCCCAGGAGCAGACGCGCGGTGTGTGGAGCTGCAGCGGTCCTCACAAAGGATCCCCATCGGGCAGGGGGCTGGGCGGGGGCTGGGCGTCTGTCTCCGCGCGCACGGGCCGGACGACCAGGCAGGTGGGCGCCCGAGAGGCACGGGCAGGCCCAGATCCCCTCTACCCGAGGCGAGCCCCGAGATGCCCGCGCCCCGCCCCGCGAGCAGGCAGACTCTGCAGGGGTAGCGGGGAAGGTGGCC